AAAATTTGTAATAATCTAGTTAAGGCAAACTCAAGAAACATCAATTGAAAATAAATCATATATAAAGAATCAAACGAAACTTTTTAAACAGATTTAAAGAAGTACTTTCTCGAACGGCAGGTAGACAATGCAGAAGGTTTTCTTTCAATAATATAAAAGACCACATGCCAATATCTTACTCTCCTCTCTGAATTTTTAAAATTCAAATATTTGTTACTTGTTTTAATGAGATATGGTCTAATCAAACGTTAATAAACATTAATAAAACAGAGGATTTAAACGCCGGTCTATTAGTGCCAAATTATTTGAAGGGGGCTTTTATGTATGTATCCGTTCAATTTAGATTCGTTTTTATGTCCAGCCTTTAAACAATCATCATTTTATATTCAAATAAAAACAAAGGCTTGGATCTAATCAGCAGTTTAACGATATCTGTCGAATTTTAGATCATAAGTTAATTAAGTTTTTTCAAATTCTTTATCAGTCATAATCGGACACATTGAAAATATCTTAAAGCGATTAAATCCTTTAATAACTTGCTCAATTATCCACATACAAATACAAACATATTTGAAAAACACATATAGAACCAAATACGACTAGCACTTGCATAGGGGCTGCCATAGTTCTTTGTAATCATATTTTCGTTTTATTAATCTGTGAAGTGAATCAATGTTTAGCATCTATTAGTGCATTTACAAGTTAAGCTCTGGCGAAAATAGTTTTATATATTTTATACTGTTTGAAAGTTATTACTCTATAATACACATACACTCTCTAACTCTTCTCCTAACTTAGACACAAAAATTAGTAGAGCAAAACTTTTCTCTACACGAGAGAATACGCCAGGGAATATGCGAAGTTTCTTGAGATTTAGAAGTTTGGCAATTTAATGTATTATTTAGCTACAAGTGGCAATTAGACTACGTTTAAACACAGTTTATTAGCAAACCCGCAATTATATCTGCAAGACCCATTTTCTTCATATAACGAACGCAACCTTTCCTCTTAAATATTTTCCAGTTCGCTCTAAATAAGCTCCAGTAAGAACTGATCAAAATGACTCTAATTTTACATTTACATGCTTGGATTATATTTTTTAGCATAGCAAGCAGTCAAGTCCTCCACCAGTTTTACATAGAAAATTAATTCTCTTTAAAAGTCGCTAGAAGCAGCCGTTTTCGAGATATTTTGATTTAAAATATTGGACGCATGTGTATTTCAAAAAGCAAATAATTTTGAAAATTTGCGATTTATTTTAATTCTTTCAACAATAATGGCTACTATTTATCTGTACTTCAAAATAATTAAGTTTAAAGTTAAATAATGTTGTACTTTTTGAAAAACACAGCCTCGATTATTTTAAATCGAAAGATTTCGAAACTGGTTATTTTAAACATAAACGAACAACCGTTCGCGGTGACTTTCAATAGTAATACTTTTTCTATGCAAAAATGATGGAGGAAGTGATTTCCTTGCTGAAAAATGATGCAAGCATGCGCTAAAAAGTTATGACTCTTCGAAGGAAAGGCAAGTAGGTGGTGTAAAAAGTAAAACAAGATTAAATTAAATTTTCTCATGCTATAAAACAGCCAAACATCAAGTTTAGCCCAAATATTGATAGCAGAGAAAAAATATTTAGGAGAAACAAAAAATGAAAGTTAATTTTTTAGCACCGTGTAAGTTCGATAATTAAAGCCTTGCGGACCCAAGTCCATATGAACTTCAAAATACACCCGGTATATAATAAAATTAGTATATAGAGCGTCTGAAAATTGATGAGAAAATCAGTGATTTTCACCACCTTTGGATATGAGGCTGAAACCTGGACAATTGAAGCAGCGAACAGAAGGAAAATTGATGCATTGGAAATGTGAATTGCCCGTTCAGAATGGACTCTCCTCCATCTGCCTTTCAAACTTCCTGAGGCTTTTTAGACATTACACAAAGAAACTTTCATAATCTGGAGAAGTTGATAGTGTCGGGAAACGTAGAGGAACGAAAGTTCAGAGGTGCTCACCAATCCTTATTTATCAGATTCAAAATGCCACCGACACTTTGGTTTACGATGCGATAAATAAAGCACGGAATCGAAACGAATGAAGAGCACACGTTTTTAATGATCACGATTCTCAGTAATGAGAGAACGACTAGTAAATAAGTGACAATAAAAAATACGTTCTCATTTGAATATTCCACTTGCAATAAACTTGATGGTATTAAGTCAAAACAATAAAAAATCATGACAATCAGACGCACAAAAATATTTAAACAACCTTTAACTGCGGTTAACAGTCGGAAAAATAAAAATGAGCTTTATTGATGCATAGGCTGGCAGCTCAGCTAATTTCAAAGTCATTAAAGAAAGGCAAGTGCTACTTACAGTTCGAAACAATGGAAGTTCTAAATATAAAAAATTACATACCCAAACACCGTAAACAAATGAAATCGTGTTTTATGATAAAAATCGAATCTTTGGCATTGCGCCACTATTTGCACACGTTGTGACACTAGTGTTTACACCGGCTTTCTTTCAATTTTTTTAGTAGATCAAGACACTGAAGTAAATGACACTATTTTACGTAAATATAATGACCTTTCTAACATGTAGTAATTTATTATTTTTAAACATCGCTCCGTAAACGTTAATACTTTGTGGTATTGTGCCAAATTTCGTTCAGGATTTACACATTTTGAACTTATTTCTAGTGTTCATTTCTACCTACTCAATAAACTTTTAACCCATTTTAATATGATCTTTTAATATAAATAATTTTAATATAAAAATAAATTCCAAATATATTTATTGTTTCGTTCAGTTTTCGATCAACACAAAAATTTTAAGAAGATTAATCCTGACCTTTGAACGGGTTTGACATGATTTTGCAATTTTTTCCTTGATGACAAAACAACAGAAGCAATAAAAATGTTCAGCGAATGAAGCAAAACGATATTTCCGTGGCATCCTTGCAAAAAAATCTTGACTATAAGGTCAAATCGTTCGCGTTTGGCGACCTTATTTAAAACGATTATTTAAATACAATTACTATTTACTAAATTTAAATTAAAATAATAAACACATTAAATTAAATTATTTGCTGATAGGAAAACCAGCAGCTGGTCCCAAAGTCCGAGACTCCCATATACGCGATTTTATGAATTAATGCAAATATTCTTACGATTCTCTTTATTCGGTCAAAACCTGTTTCTAATAAGGCAATAAAATGAAGAAAATACTCTGATATAGTAGTAGGAATAACTATTTCTGCCTGAAATGTTATATTTGTCAAAAAGTGATATGTAGTCAGAACAGATTATCAAAAAGTTAAGAACAAATTGAAGAATAAAAATAAAAACAGCTTGCAAAGATAGAAAAATCCGAAAATGGGACAGTTCATATTGGAAGATGTAGCCATATCAGAATTAAGTACTTTTTTTTTCATTTGATTTAATTTAAGTTTTACAACTTCCGCTTGCCATTTGACGATCACTTAAAAATCGATGCGTTTGAAGATAAAATAATAAATAAATCAAATGAACTTAAGGTTATTTCTGGTACAAAGATCAAGAGCTAAGGCGCTTAATGTGTTTAGCTTACATATTTTTACTAAATACTGAAGTTCAAATTATTTTGAATAAATAAATTAAAGTAATTTTTTAACATTTTTTTGTTGACAGCTCACAGTCTCACAAGCAGTCAGCAGAATTTGTCTATTATAAATCTCTAAATAATATTTTCCCAAAAACAACAAAAGTCTGATTATTTTGGCATTATTTTTTAAAACTCATTTCGGCCAATTTACTGTTGTAAATACAAAATCCAAAACAAATAAACCTATTTAATTCATTTATGCAGCAATTTCGCACAGTTTGCCGCTAACATAACTCAAACATCATTAAATTCTAGCGGTTTAAACATTTGTAAAACATCAGAAATGATCAGAATTACAAGTTAAGACGTTACAATGATAATGAAATTTGAAACGGGCAAATTAATACTATTTGGTTAGGATTTTAATTAGATATTCCAAGCTCATGGTTTTCCTAAAGCCTACCAATGTTCAAACCTGCAATGGAATGCAGATGTTCCATAAGAAATGCTTATTTTTGTTAACAGCTACTTTTATAGATAATTTTGTATTTTTCTCAATAATTGGACACTATAACTCTCACTTCACCTTGTATATACGCCGCATACAGGGCGAGTTAAAACGATTTACAAAACGTAGCCACGGGCAGCGAAAAAGGCTAGTTTTCATTATAAATGATTCGGAAAAAGTTTTGTTGAGAAAGCACAGAATATTGAAAAACCAATTATAAAAAATAAATTTTCACCACATGAAAATGTTTTGAAAATGAGTTCTTATAAACCTGCCAATGTTTTTTTTCAAAAAAAAAATGCGTTTTTGGTTCTAAAGAGTCCCATCATCTGATTCAGCAGAATTCGGGCGTACGTTAATTTTTATTTCTTCAAAATTAATGTTAAAGTTTTAAAAAAGAATTACCTAACAATTTTTCATTCAAAATTTAATTTTCTAGGTGAAATATTATTCGAAAATGGTTTATAAGCTTTGGAAATGACCCAGTATTTTATTGAAACGTAGCTAACGTAAACTGGCTTTAGAATCTATGAATAAATTGTAGGAATTTAAGTGGAGAGCTGTGATGAATCTTAAATCTTAGATGCGCATCAACAACTTCTTGTTCAAAAAACGTGTGCTGATTACGTGAAAATATTCAGCTGAAGACATCAAACTAACCCAAGCTAACCGGAAACATTGTGAAGCATGGCAAAAGCAATCAAGAAATTCCCGTGAGTAAAAAAATCCACAGAAAAACTGAAAATTGTCAACAATATTTTGAATTACTTATTTCCATTTAGCTTGCGCACTATTCAACACCAAACAGCATATGACTGCATAAATGCTCTTAAGCACATGAATATTCAAATTTAAAAAACCATATGTGCCATAACAAAATCGCTCCCAACTTGCACTTACCTTGTAAAATTCCCAACTATGAGCTCATCCTTTGAATTCAGCAATTCATCTCCCTTTTCATTTCCATTATAATCGTCAGACCTATTCTCTTCTACAGACGTGCCACCCAACTCTTCATGGTAATGACCTTTTTTATACTTGAAGCGATATTTATTAAACCCATTAACGTGATTTTTCCCCTGTCTCAGATTGCTTCGAGGAGAAATATGCCGGTTGCGAAAATGTGATGCCAGAGTATGGTGATAGTTGTGGGGATCACCATTTTGAGGCGATTTTGTGATGTTTCGTTTCGGTCTTTGCCAGTGATTTCGCAGGTTTTGTTGGCAGGTTTTCATCTTGGTACGCGCCACCTTGTTGGTTCTTTGTATCATCGATGTAGTATCCATGTTGTGATGTTGAGGATTTTGAGGAATTGTTGGTTTAGTTTTTGATTACAACTTCCATTAATGTTATTTGCCGATTATGCTGGCTGTTTAGGTCTAATTAAAGAAATTCATTGGTATCAGCAAAAGCGTTAAGTTATAATAAGGTTTCTAAATAGCAACGAGTAGAGTGGATGGGAAATTAGAGAACATCAACAATGTTGTCGAATAATTGCTTTAGAAAGTTGAGTGTGTCTCCTTCGATGAAAATCAGACATATCACTTTTTCAATATTAATTTTGTAGTTAATTGTAATTCTCCAATAAAGGTTTGAGCAATTGAATATTTACGAAATTAAAAAGACTGGCGCATTAACAAAGAACAAATGGTAAACTAGATAAAGTTGGATTGATAACGTTTTATTTTACCAGATGGCATAGAAATAAAATTAAAACTGCAAATTTCAAAAACAAATTTCCTTAGTATGTTTTTTCCTCTTCATTGGTAATATTGATTACACTTTCTCTTATTATACATGGTTTTCCAATAGCAAGCCAGGATTCAATAGCTGAAGCACCTGGAAAGTTAACTTTCAGACAAAATTCTTCCATTGACATGAGGGAGGACTCCAAGAAGAATATATATTTTTTAAGACGAGATTTTTTGATATGCTGTGAAAATATGAATTTTATTGATTCATTCTAATCAGTTTAGAAAAAAGAAAAAAGTCTGTTTATAGTCGATGGCAAAAATATCACTGGATTTTTCAAAGAGTTTTGAGTAATTAAGGTGTGCTATAAAATGATGTCATTAATATAAATATAAGTTATATTAAGAAAAATAATGAAACCACTCAAATATGATATCCATCAAATCAAACTCTCGCATAATACTTTGCCATTTAAAAAATTCGTTGATCAATTAGATGCATATTATTTAACCCTTTAAGAGCCCTTGCCTTTATTTTTAGGTACTATAAATACTATCTGATATTAATTGCTATTAGATCATCCGCATCCGCAACAAAACTCCAACTTATATATTTCGATTTCAGATTTTCGTTTCTGTTTGTTCTGATGTTTCTGTTGTTTCAATCAGAAACATTCACAAAATAAGTTACACTTTGATTGGACACTATTTTCTTTCGTCAATTTCGTGCTTCAAAATCATACGCAAGAATTAAATTACGAAAAAATTGAAACATTAAGAAGATAAAACAAAGAATGCGACAAAAACGACAAACTTAACACTAGGGAGGTTGTTGATGTTCTGTTTCTTTCACAACCAACTGTTCTGATATGGTTCTTCCAGGAAGCAAAAATCATAAGAAAATTGACTTTTAAATCAATCTAGGGATGACAATTTATTTCAACTACGCTCACAGATTGACGTTAATTGACAGTTGCACCTGACAGTTTTGTCAAAAAATGTCACATTTACTTATTCAAAAGCTGTTTGAATAGTTATTAAAATGTTGGGCATTAAAACCCGAGGAAAAATAAATTAAACTGACTAAAAAAAGGATAAAAATAGCTTAAAAACAGCAAAAGTTTCAAACGCGTTTATTTGGGGCAAAACTCTACTTAGTACCTTCTCAAACACAACGTGCCAATGATTCAAAAAACCAACAGGCAACTTCCGAAAAAGTTCAAATTTTCAGTTTCCATTTTCGGTTCCGTGCAATTTACCCCAACCCCCCCAATTTAACGGAACTTTATTTCTAACACTCGTTTCCATGTTTCCCCCATATCCCACGCGAATACTTATGGAAAAAATTTGGAAATAGTACGGGTCCGATCAAGATTAGTAGGTCGCGGATTGGATGTTACATCGACGTAAGCGTATCGAAAATGGTATGGTAAAAACAAAAGAAGCTCGCGTCTACCCGGTAAGGCGATTTAATAGTGAACTGTAAAACGCCATGTTGTCGGATATTCACCAAGTCCCCCACGCGGTTTTGTATGTGTTCGAGCTCTGTCTGTTTCGTTCAACGATCGGAACTCTTTCTCCTTGTCACCGACTGGCTAAAGTTAGATTGTTACATATTTATACAGAGTGTGCCGTTTAATTCTAAACCTACACCTACTTCTCTAACTCAAATGTTCAATGTGACATGCACTTCAGCGCTACATTTAGAAAAGTGCACGATAATGTCACGTTTGACACAAGGGTTGGGCTGACATTTGCACCTACTCTTACTATTTGACAGGTGATGCGCAAATGTCGTATTTATTCGCTTAAATTTACCTGCGCACTACTAAAACCGAATAAAATGGATATTGTTTCTGAAATGGTACTTCACATGTACGCCCTCATGCCCCGTGAATCGAACGACAGATAATGTGTCGTATATATGTTTATATGTATATAATCGACGATAGATAATGTACATTAATAATTGCGGTGTTTTACTTCAACAGGGTTACAAGACAAAATGTACTTATCTGGATTATAACTGCAAATAATGGGGCCTGGTAAAATTCCGCGATATCGATAGTCTATGGTGCTTTTATTTATAGCAAGGGAGTCCTGCTTTAAGGGGTTACGTCATGATCGCCAGTGGATTTGATATTGGTTCGAGCTTTGAGAGCCTCGAACAGGCAAAATTATCGCCTTTTGTTCGCTTGAAAAAATGTGGATATTTCTCCATGAGGAATCGCTACACTTCCTTAGGAGCACCCTACACAAACCGACGGGTCATTGCACTTATATTAACCGAATGGAACTTTCTTTACATATAATTAGTAATTTAGTTAGAAAATCTTTTTTAAGTTGTATGCACAACCGTTTAATTTCCGCATTTTACTTACCACACTTCACTGATATTTCATTAATGCTTGACTTTATTTAAAGTTCTTATTAAAGTGTTCTAATCATAAATGATAAGTGGCTTAAACAAATGTGCATTAACAATCAATTGTTTTAAAGCATTTATAAGTCAGATGGTTGTATTAGTCTTAGGCATTACTATTTCACTTACCACATATGTGCTTATTAATGCCATTGTTCGCCGTTTAGATTTAATTTTACTTAAAAATTACACTTATCACCTTTGTTTGATGTGTGATCTAAATAGATAAGCACGAACCAAATGCACATATACATCGCCCATAAAGTAAAGCTCAGTTTCCCACTTCTCATTCATATTTCTTTGCGTCGTTTAACGTTACTTTTTTAAACAGAAACACAATAGCTACCAAGAACGACAACTTTGGCAAGAAAGCTATTATGTTACTAAATGTTTAAATGGTCTCGAAAATGACACCTAGTTAGGGTTTCCTGCTGCTTTAGCAAAAAAATAAATTGAGTATTGCCGCATGTACTTTAGAGGCGATAAGACGAGGTTGTTCTTTATCGTGTAGTCCGGCGCTCTAATTTTTCTGTAAATTATTTTAAATAAAATATTAATCAATACATCGAGGTAAAAGAGTTTCTACTTGGATTGTGCTGCCAGAAGAACTATTCGCAGTTCAAACTTTAAAACATTGTAGATAAAAGTAAAAAATTAATACATCGAGTAATTTTGCGCGTCTGTTCCAAAAAGATCTGATACAAATAAAGGGTGTCCCAAAATTAATCGGAAATTTGAATTAAATAGAAAACATAGTGTTTATTATTTGGGGTGTTATTTTTTTATTAAATCAGAATGTACACACGACAGAGTTATTTATAGAGTAATACATCGGCCATATGGCCCTCACTGCTTTGTTGGCATGTAGGTTCACAGTTTTTGCCATATGATCTCTCTCGATTTACATTTTTTTTCCAGGAAAATTTCCAGAACCATGCTACATAAATGTGCCTATATTTTGTTGATATGACGGTTATTGTTTCCCTGTGATGCATGTGTGGTCATGATCTTGTTGACATAAATATTTGATTACAATTAGACCCTATAAAAACAAACCGGATGGTGTTGAACCATACGATTTAGGAGGCCTATTCGGATCACCAATACGAGGGAGAACACAACTAGGCATTGCTTTTTCACGCAGTAATTGAACGGAACCCGGAAATGTCTTGTTAAATCCACATACTTCCACAGAAATCAATTTCGGCAAAAATAACAGTATCCGTTTAATCAGCTTCGTTTTCGAAAAAAAAAAATTAAAGTGCAATGATGGATGCCTCAAGTCCAAAATCACCACCGACCAGTTTCAGGTTCTGAATGCATTTGTCTTTCCACAATCACAGGGTGAGTTATGTAAATTCAATTTTGGCCACTAACAACGCCATTAAAGTAAAAAATCGCTTTATCAATTGATTCATGATTTTGATCGAAAAATCAGCACCCACCTGTTCATGCTCAATAATTCATTCTACGAACTCTCTAATGACCATTAGGCGAAAGTACTTGTGATATTTCAAGTTTGTGTATACGAAGAAAGATCGTTTGCAAAGAATTTCTTGAATTTTCTGTTTCTTGTCCAGGAGCAGCATTGACGTTCTCGGATTTTCATTTGAAGGGATTGTTCTGGGATGACTAGTGCGTTTTCAATTTATCCAGTCTTCCTGAATTTTTCAATTAATCTCTTCACAGTTACCAAAGTTGAGACACTATTCAGATTAGGGCTCGGAATCAAACTCGAATAATTCAACTATTCGAATATTCGAATATTCGAAAAGCGAATAATTATGTGTAGTCATAATATTCGAATACTCGAATATTCGAATAACCGAATATTCGAATATCCGAATATTCGAATACTCGAATAATCGAATACTCGAATAATTATATACCAACGAATACACCAACATTATCAAACTCACAAGGTGCAAATATCTTTATATGCACTTTGTATACTTTTATAAAATAAATTATTCATATTCTACAAGCATTTAAACAAATACCCATATATTTACAAGCAAATGAAAATAATCATATTTGTAATAATTATAATGTAAAATCACGTCTCTGTGTTCTGGTGATACGCGTCATCAACTTTAGCGCGTGTTACAATTAATGTGCCGACAAAGGCACTTTTTTATCCGTTGCGGCTAGTTGCCAAAAATGATATGAGATAACGATTTTTTTTCTTGGAAAACGGTGAACGGAAAACGAACACTAGAATATCTAACGAATACGAATAGAAATACTCGAATATTCGAATACTCGAATACTCGAATATTCGTTAGATATTAGAGTATTCGAGTAATTTTACTATTCGAATAAACCACTAAACGAATATTCGAATATCAGATTTTTAAAAATTCCGAGCCCTAATTCAGATCATATTTTTTATGGAATTTTCAAACTGTCTCCGATATACTTTAATTATTATTATGGTATTGTTCAATAATGAAAACATGTAAGAAATACACCATTATGCACCTTCATAAAGGCAAAAATTAATTACCGAAAGCTTTTTAGCTAAAAAAACCTACGTTTTCTTACTACTGCCCAGACCGAATTCCCAAAACAAAACAATTTTTTCAGTCGTTCTGGTATCGGTACAGAAATTATCTTTATTTGTTGGTTATCCGCATATTAGATTATATCCGCAAGTTCAGATTTGTGCGTTCAGTAAAAATAGTGCGCTCTAAATGTCATCAAAATTTCTTCAAACCTTCAAACATTCATTCAAATCACATGAAATCCTGAATTTTGTGCGCTTTTTAAATGTTGATTTAGAGATTAGACGCTGCTTTTTTCGAAGTTTCTGAAGGCTCACTTGAGCTGCAAAATTCGTTTTGGCATCGATGGATAGATAATTGATAAACTCAATTCGTCATAATAAGAAGAGTGAGACAATTTAAACAGTTTTGACCCAGAATGCAAATTTTGAATATCAGACCTTTAGGTGCAAGATTAGGCCACAATTTCATGTTTTCCGTCCCGCTTTTGCTAATGTCTCGGAAACAAAACGCTCGTTTTTACATCATTCCAGGGAGAATTAAATTATCCTTTTAGAAAATGAACCATCGGTAAGAAAATGTTGGCAGTTTTCTCAAAAAAGTCTTGATTTCAAGAAGTTTACCTATCTTCCCAATTTTTAGATCATACTGATCCACGTTGCATTATTGGTGGCTTGTATCACTCTTGCGCTTAAGAATATGTAGCAATGGATGATAAAGAAATCAGGAGAGGATTGCGAAAATATTTGACTATCCAACTGCCGCGTTGACTCGAATTTCGGACTCGAAGTATTCTACAGATACAGTCTAAATTGTAATTTAAAAAAATAAAATAATGTTTTCCAAAACAAAATTTTTAGCTATTGATTCTTAATTTATATTTAATACTTTCGTCTGAACTCTAAAGTAAAACGGTCATAATTGAATCACTACCCCTGTGCAAAAAATGTGTTTCAAATGCAATTCAAAACAATTTTGTCTATATGTATCACCAAGTATAAATAACATATTGAAATTCATGGTAAAAGAGATTTGATACATCTTTCGCAACTTCTCGCAATCTACGCAAATACTTCAATGGGTTTATAGTAAGTGCGATAATTAAATCGGTGTGACTAACTCCTGATTGGATTACGGGAGTTTTTCTCACATGCCAGATTATTTTTCACCTTCCCACGATTTCTGCTAATAATTCCACTTCAGCGTCACGGATTTTTAACCCGTTGTTAATTTCCTATATTATTATTTACAATCAACGGATTGCCACATCTAGAACTTGGCCGCAAATTAACAATGTCTACAAGAACATAGTTCTGATAATTGAAAGATTGATTAATGAGGATGATTAATCATTAATAGAGATCAAACCAGCCTGAAAATAACTTTCACTTACTGATGATTAGTTATTAAACCACCAAATTATAAAGTTTCCAAAGCCACTAACTCGTTGGCTAATCACTGACCTAGGAGCACGATTATGTTGTAATAAAATACACAAAGGTCTCTCGGGTTTCTTGATCGTTGGGGACCTCTTCCTTGTTTCGTTATTGTTTACTCAT